AAACTTCTGCTAACATTACTGCTACAGTGCTTATTCCCTGGCTTCCTGCCGTTGCCCTAGCTTTCAAAAGTGTTTACTCCCATATTTTAGCCAGTCCCTGAAGGAGCATGTGCGTTGCGCTTGGAACCGCTACAGTACGAGGATGAAGTGGATGCAAATCGTTTTGGATTGCAGCCAAATAGTCGTATGGAGTACGATATTGTACCGGATTCGTTTGACAAGAGGTACGGTAATTCTGAGCCACACTTCTATAAGGGAAAAGTGGTCCATTTTCAGCGGAACCTTCTCGCTGCAACTTCGTGCTACCGCCTCTAACGGTGTGATCCTGTTCGCTACCAACGATAAGCACACCGATCACGTTGGTCTGTTCTTGCTCAATGGACGAGTTATTCTGTCGTTTGATACAGGAACAGGACAGGTAAGCGCAAATTCACAGCTTGCAAGGGAAATAGAAAAACCTACTTTCAGACCTTGATCCGCTCAAATCGCTCCATTCTCACTGGTGAATGGCACTCTATCAAGGCTAGTCGTCGTGGAAATGAAGGGTCGCTAATCGTCGACGATGAATCGGCTGAAACTTCGGGTGTCCCGGCTGGAACGGATTCTATTGATACTCAACCACCCCTGTATCTGGGAGGTATCCCAAATGAACTGTCCAGCTATACTCGGACAATCTTACCTGTGAGTCAGACATACCACTCACTGCGCAATAAACTTCTCACTACCGAATCACTACGGTAATCTTCAGGGTGTGAGATCAGAATTCGGTGGCTGCATTCGAGATCTGAAATTGAATGATAAGAAATTCGACACTACTGCTAGAGAACATGGCGTAGGCGAGTGCAAAAAACACACTGAGAGCGGCCTATATTTCGGAAAAGAAGGTGGCTATGCCATTTTGAAAAAAGAATTCCAGGTAAATATTCCATGCCACAAAAATACTAAAATAAATCAATTTTTTTCTACCACAGGTTGGCCAATCCTTCTCGGCTGAGATGGAAGTTCGACCACGTACTCAAAATGGCGTCTTATTCTCTGTAGGCGCTGTAGAGTTCCTCACGGTACAGTTTTTAAACGGTTCCGTAAAGGTAAGTAAAAACCTTCAATGCTGAAGTTTTTCTGCTAATTCTACCTTTTAGTTCACTGTGGACAGCGGATCAGGTCCAGAAGCACTTATTTATAACCCTACAGCTCCAAATGTGCTTTGTGACGGCCACTGGCATTCGATTAAGGTTACTTACCCATTCAAACTTTACCGTAACCCTGGCTACCCACGCTAAAAGCTCCATTCATTTCCAGATCATGAAAAAGAAGAACCTCATGACCTTGACTGTTGACGGCAAAAGCAACCTCAACATCATGAAGAAGAGCAAGAAGCCTGAGACCATGACCAAGGACCCCATCTACCTAGGAGGTGTTCCCGAATCTGTCACAAGCAAGGGTTTGGAGACAAGGGGTAGGTGTTTGGCTAAGTTTTGTGGCCCTTTTCGAAATGCTTATTTTTTAGAACCATTCGTTGGCTGCGTCCGCATCATGAATCTTGGTGGAGGAAAGAGGGATAAGAACAGAATGAAGAAACAGTTGGATGTGTCCAAATTAGACGTTTTCGGTGATGTCAACAAACAAGAATGTCCGCTGGATTAGCACTGTGCTTAGCTTTAAACTGCCTTTTTTCAATTCCTTGTGCCTTCCTTGCCCTTCATTACTTCATTGTACTTTAACCTGCCTTTCCTCGCTTCTACTGCCGTCTTGCCGCTTTATTTGTTCTCTGTATTTTTCGTTTTCATTTTTGTTTTGTTTTTTCGAATAAATTGTACCGCTTTTGGCTGGTACACGTCTATGATACTACGAGCGACTTCCCATGAATCTCAGCCTGTTAAAAGCAACACCAGGCTGTATGATCTGCCCATTCAGAACATGGAGATTTCATGTGCTTCAGGGGCAGAATGTCCCGAAAAACCGT